TGTCAAATTTTCCAGGTTAACGGGCCGAGGGCCCACTCCAACAACACCGATACTGTCCCCACTTTACCACCTGCACAATCCTCAGGTGTGGGGTTTTATCACAAAAGGCCTCGGTATTAGTTGGAGTGGGGTAATTCTATTTAAAGTACTCTTTCTCCTTCCCTCTCTCCGATGTGGGACACAATTGGTTTCAACACTCCCCTGCACGTGAGACCCCATTTTGTGGGTCACACGTGGAGATCCACACATCGGCAACCACGTGGAGCCATGTAGGGACTCACCTATCGCGCGGGGCCAAACGGGGACCCACCCATCACGTGGCAAGTACGGGCCCGCAACCTGGCTCTGATACCATGTCAAATTTTCCAGGTTAACGGGCCGAGGGCCCACTCCAACAACACCGATACTGTCCCCACTTTACCACCTGCACAATCCTCAGGTGTGGGGTTTTATCACAAAAGGCCTCGGTATTAGTTGGAGTGGGGTAATTCTATTTAAAGTACTCTTTCTCCTTCCCTCTCTCCGATGTGGGACACAATTGGTTTCAACACCTTTGTCCTTTCAGCTATGATCTTGAGTCTCAAAACTCTCAACAAGAAAATGAAGCATCTCATTTTGTTTGGTCTATCTGAATTGTAGCCAGAAAACCCCACAGATCATTTATTTGACATCAGTTTTGATTTATTAATTGAACTCTTGGTTTAGTAAAACCATTGACATTTTTGTTTTAGGCACGTTCAGCTAAAACCCTAAAACCACCTACTAGAGAAATCTAGAAATTCTAGAGCCAAGGGAGAAGCTGTGTTGACAATCTCCTCCTCTTTCCTTATGGCAACTGAAGATATCTGTTAACAAGCAAGTAGTACCTGTAATTAATCTACGAATTTATTTTGCCATTTGGTCAAATGTTTCCCCACCTCTTACATTGTAGAAATCAAATGTTATTCCGACATTTACTTGTAATTAATCAGACTTACCAGATAACATACAAAATAACTGAAAAGAAGTTAGTTCTGCAGGATATTTAAAGAGCATTGCAAAAGAAAAATAATTCAGGTGAAAAAATGAGCATGAACCAGGTGAGATCTTATTTTTGAAAAGTTGATACATATTGAACGTGCAGTAGGTTTTGCGTACATTTCTAAAATTCTAAGTACCGTATTTTAACAAGATTTGAAGACATAAATGTCTAAAGAGTGCTAATTTCTTTTTCTCAAGAAATTATAGCCACAAATGTTTGTAGCCTGACCTAAAACTGTATTCAAAGGAACAAGCAGCTTTTCTATCCACACATCTCTAAAATTCCAAGTTTTGGGTTCTATGTGCGTGGGTTGTCATAAAAATGGTTGGGGACATAAGGTTCTCCAACAAATATACAGACTTAACAGCTAACAACTTCAGATTGGGATGGAAGACAAAGCCATGTGATCCTTCAAATTCTTATGTCACTTGCCAACCCAACCATATTTTCTTCCATCCATTTCTTTCCACATTCCTGGTATTTCCCTATCCACCCTTTCAAATTCATCTATATAATATATATATATATACAGACACTTCCATACTATCCCATAAACAAATCAACTCTTCATCATCATCTTTACTAAATCTTTTCTTCGAATCAATTTTCAACTCCAATCTCTTTCAACAGTGTTAATACAGACTCTTAAGACATGGCTATCCGATTGCCTAGTATTATGCATGCTAAGCAGATTCTCCGACGCGGACGTTTTCTTGCAAACGGAGCAGCTTCAACATCTTCAGTAGGTGTTCCAAAAGGCTTTTTGGCTGTATATGTTGGAGAAAGCGAAAAAAAGCGATACATGGTTCCGATTTCATTCTTGAGTCAGCCTTCATTTCAAGAGTTGCTAAGTGAGGCAGAAGAAGAATTTGGATTTGACCATCCAATGGGTGGACTCACAATCCCTTGCAGAGAAGAAATCTTCATTAATCTCACTTCTCAGTTAAGGGACCTGTGATTTGTGATTAAAATATAAATTATCAGAGACAATTATGTAAAGACTTATATGACCAGTTGAGGAAGTTGTAAATAGAAATTGTAGACAAACTTTACATTTGTTATCGATTACAGAAAGAGCAACATTAAAGGATATTGTTTCTCTTTGGATTCTGATATGATTTCAGTCCATTACCTTGCTTACTTTCTTTTCCTGTCACTTTTTTTTTTTTTTGGGTATTCCTTTTATTTTTTATCACTTCGTACATGGTTTAGATTGTCCTTGATACAATATTAATTTATTAACAAATTTAAGCAACATGGACTGTTTGTATCGACTTCATAAATGTAACTTCAGACATTTACATGTCTCTTATGATGGTTTTTGCCATTTGTTGATAATCACAATAGAAATTCAGTCATTTCAAAGCTGAAAGTACACAAAAGGGCTAGCAAGTTCATGTACTGAATGAACAAAAGATAACATAATGCTTTAAGATAACAGTATGTTATTGCCATGAGGAGTTTCAAGAATTCCACAGCTATCTCAAACAAATGAGAGTCATCAGATGGGATAAGCAGGGATCTGCTGAGAGCTCAAGAAGCCACAAAGCCACCAAAAGGCAACATTCCTATCTATATATCGAGAACTTAATGGTAGAACTATTAAACAATTTTTTGAGTTACAGCATTGTAATCTATAAAAATTATGAAATCATTCGATTACTTAGCAACAAGCATCAAATGGAACCAACACGGACATGATATTTTCCATGTGCTTTGGTGAACCTAAGTCACAAATATCAATAGGGTAGAAAATCTCATATATGAATGTATCTGCAGATATCTTATAGGGAAAGACACCCCAATCATAATTTTGAGAGACTGGATTCACTGGAATATGAAAACGCAGTTTAATTCAAGATCCAAATCTGTTTGAGGCACCATGTATAAAGAAGTATGAGTAACCAATTATACTTCAGTTCTTGTGCAAAGCTGCTGCCATTCAGTTCTTGTGAAAACTATAAGACAAGAATGGATGAGCATTTATCTTATGTTATATATTCTTGTATATTCCTGTAGAGTAACAAAGAAGTTTACATAGAATTACAAGACAACAAATTTGACTTCCTTTGAGTTCAAAATTGGAGTGATGATTTTTGGAACAATGGTTTTGTGGACCTCATCATATCATCATTTTTCTGCGGCAAAATGTTCTATGATATTGCTCAGATCACAAGCAGCTTCAGCATTACAGAAGGGTGAACTGATTCTATGGATGATCCATTGTAGCCTCTTTTTCCATCCAAACCCAGTGGTTTCTGAAATAATGATGCTTTGGATATGATCACATCAAAATCCTTCATCAGCTTGACTCAGTGAAATGAGGATCTTTTCAATGATTTTGAAAATCAATTCATGCTCAGTCATACACTTAAGCGGGAAGTAAGATCTAGGAAGGTGTTTTCACTGCAGGGGATTGTGATACCACCCATGGGATGATCATATCCAAATTCTTCTTCAGCTTGACTCAGCAAATCCAGGAATAAAGGTTCATTCAAATATGATACCGGAATCACAAACCGCTTCTTCTGGCTCTCTCCAACATACACTGCAAAATAGCCTTTTGGGATATCTGTCTTTGATTCAGCTGTCTGGTTTGAAGTAGATCGAGATCGAATGAGACTTCTCTTTGCATTAACAATTCCAGGCAACCGGAAACCCATGGCTTTTATATGCTCAAGAGGACAAAAGAAGAAGAAAAAGAATGCAAAGTACTTGGAAAAAAAAGAGAAAGGTTTGATGCTTGGGAAGGTGAAGACTTTAGTTGCTCAAGATGAACTTGATCATGTGTGTATATATAGATGAAATGGTATGCAGAAAACCGTATGGTACACTACTTGAAATGATTGGTGAAGAGGCACTGAGAGGGGAAGCAATTAGGGCCACTTGCTTGTACCAAATCACATGGGTTTGTCTTCCTGCTTATGCAACTCATCCTCCAAAAAATTATATGGATAATGGCCAAACTCTAACCTTGTGGAGAAACAGCATCCCTGCCTAGCAATCTTCTCTGTGTAACAGACAGCGAAAGGGACCACCAGATGTGAGATTTCAATCCAATAAAAAATAATCCTCTTAGAGAAGAGGCCCATATATGTTGGACTAATCACTACTTACTGTTCAAGATTAGGTCTGCTAACCCTTAATTGCAAAGACATGTTCTTGAATAATGAATTCATTGAATTGAATGCATGCTCATTCAAAGTCACGGAAAGATAACCGACAGAACGGCATATGTGCCCTACCCAATGAAAGCTTGTGTGACAGGACAACTAAGTTGTTAGCTTGTGTGGCAAACAATTAGTCTTCTTTTTCTTTAATTGTGCTTTGAAAGCAAGAATTTTTGTGGTGCTATTGGAATTTGACATGGGGCCTGGATAAGAATGGATGCTCTATAGCTTGATTGGTTGGGATGGGAGAACCAAACAACCCTACCATGTGTCTTTGTTCTTTCATCTATGACGTTCAGTTTCAACAAGCAAAGGAAGTATTCATTTGTATGAACACTCTGGACTGGCACCAGAAAAAGGAACTGGTAAAACATTTGACCATCAGTTTCAATTGTTTATTGAAAGAGTGGAAACATGGAACTGATGATTCAGATACAACACATAATAAATGGCAGGAATTCCGTTCCGCAGTATATTTCAAAGAGCTTTGCAAAAAAATAGAAATAAAATTCTAGGTGAAAAAAATGATCCTGCATTGGCTGAGATCTTATTTTTGAAAAGCTGCACATGCAGTAGCTAATGTGTACATATTTAATTTGGTCGAAAGAATGCTAGTTAATCTATTGCTGTCAAGAAATTATTGACATAGATATGTCTGAAGCCTGTCCTTGATTGAAAGGAAGCTTTTGTTATCCACAAATCTCTCTGAAATTTCAAGTGGGGTTTATAGGTTGTCATAAAACTGGTTGGGGGCATAATGTTCTCCAACAAATATACAGACTTAACAGCTACCAATTTGTTCATATTGAGATGGGAGACAAGGCCAAGTGATCCTTCAAATTCTTATGTCACTTGCCAACCCCAACATATTTGCTTCCATTCATTTCTTTCCACATTCCTGATATTTTCCTACATACCTTTCCAATTTTCATCTGTATATATATGCATACACAATTATCCCATAAACAAATCAACTCCACATCCACCATCTTAACCTAAATCTTTTCTTCCAGTCAATTTTCAACTTCAAGCTCTTCCAAAGTGATAACACAGACTTTTAAACATGGCTATCCGATTGCCTGGTATTATTCGTGCTAAGCAGATTCTCCGACAAGGAAGTCTTTTCGCAAACCGAGCAGATTCGACATCTTCCATAGGTGTTCCAAAAGGCTTCTTACCAGTGTATGTTGGAGAGAGCAAAAGAAAGCATGGTTCTGATTTCATTCTTGAGTCAGCCTTCATTTCAAGAGTTGCTAAGTAAGGCAGAGGAAGAATTTGGATTTGACCATCCAATGGGTGGACTCACAATCCCTTGCAGAGAAGAAATCTTCATTAATCTCACTTCTCAGTTGAATGGCATGTGATTTATCGCTCAAAGATAAATTATCAGAAACAATTTTGTAAAGACTTGTGCATTCTCTTGTTTCTATGTTTTCCAGCATAAGAAGGGATTCTAACTTGTATGACCAGTTGAGGAAGTTGTAAATAGAAATTGTTCACACTGTACATTTGTTATTGATTTTAGAATACATTGGGATAATAGACCAAAAATAAACAGAATACATTGGGATAGCTCTATGCCGGAAAAAAATTCCTTTTACCTTGTTAAATTTATTTTCCTGTCCTCGATACAATATTAACAGAATTTAAGTAACATGAAGGGGTAAAAGAACAACACACAGAAGTATGGTCTGTTTGCACCAACTGCGGACATGTAACTTCCGACATTTACATGTCTCTAATGATGGTTTTCCAATTGTTGAGGAATCACAATAGAAATTCAGCTACTTAAAAGTTGAAATTACACAATACGACTAGCACATTCATGTACTAAGTGAACAAAGGATAAACGTATAGCTAAGGAAATTCATGTTTTCCACAGCTATCTCAAACAAATGAGAGTCATCAGATGGGATATGCAGGGATCTGCTGATAGATCAGGAAGCAACAAAGGCACCAAAAGGTAACATCCCTATCTATATTCAAGAAATTAATGACAGAATCAGTAACCAAATTTTAGTGTCACAGCTTTTGAGTAACAGAGAAGTAATCCACACAAAAATTTGAGTGAATCATTCGATTACTTAGTGTCAAGCATCAAATGGAACCGATATGAACATGGTATTTACCATGTGCTTTGGCGAACCAAAGTCACAAATATCGATAGGGTAAAATTAAAAATTCCCACATATGACTGTATGTAGATATCTTATAGTGAAAAGTCCCCCATCTCACCTCCCCCCAATATCATTAGTTTAGAGAGATTGGATTCACTAGAATTTTAAAAAGCAGTCTAATTCAAGACCCCAATCTGTATGAGGCACCATGTTTATAAAATAAAAAATAAAAAAGTATTAATAAGCAAGTATACTGCAGTTCTTGTGCAAATCTTCTGCCATTTAGTTCTTGTGAAAAGTATATGACAAGAATGGATGAGGCATTTATCATATATTAAATATTCTGGTGGACCAACAAAGATGTTTACATGGGATTAAAAGACAATAATTTGACTTCCTTTGAGTTCAAAATTGGAGTCATGATTTTTGGGCCTATGATTTTGTGGAGTTTAAAATACCATCATTTATCTGCTACATAAATTTCTATGCTTCTGCTCAGATCACAAGCAGCTTCAGGATTACAAGATGTGAGTTGATTCTGTGGATGATCGATGGTAGCCGCTGTTTCAATCCAAAGTGATTTCTGAAATGAGTATTCCTTGGATATGATCACATCAATATTCTTCAACAACTTGACTCAGTGAGTTCTGCAATGAGGATCGTTTCGATGCTCTTGATGATCGATTCTCGTTCACTCATACACTTAAGCTGGAAGTAAGATCAAGGAAGGTGCTTTCACTGCAGGGGATTGTGATACCACCCATGGGATGATTGTATCCAAATTCTTCTTCAGCTTGACTCAGCAATTCCAGGAACAAAGGCTCATTCAAATATGATACCGGAATCACAAACCGCTTCTTCTGGTTCTCTCCAACATACACTGCAAAATAGCCTTTTGGGATATCTGTCTTTGATTCAGCTGTCTGGTTTGAAGTAGATCGAGATCGAATGAGACTTCTCTTTGCGGTAACAATTCCAGGCAACCGGAAACCCATGGCTTTTATATGCTCAAGAGGACAAAAGAAGAAGGAAAAGAATTCAGAGTACTTGGAAAACAGAGAAAGGTTTGATGCTTGGGAAGGGGAAGACTTTAGTTGCTCATGATGAAATTGATCATGTGTGTATATATAGATGAAATGGTATGCAGAAAACCGTATGGTACACTACATGAAAAGATTGGTGAAGAGTCACTGAGAGGGGAAGCAATGAAGGCCATATGCTTGTACCAAATCACATGGGCTTGTCTTCCTGCTTATGTAACTCATCCTCCAAAAACTCTCTGGATAATGGCCAAGCTAGATCCTTGTGGAGAAACAGCATTCCCTACTTAGCAATCTCCTCTGGGACAACCAGATGTTAAATTTCAAAGATAAGCCTGTTTGACAAGAGGCTCATATATGTTGGACTAATCACAAATTATTGTTTAGGATTAGGTCTACTAACACTTTATAGAATAATAAATTCATTGAATTGAGTGCTCATGCAAAGTCACAAAAGATAACCAACAGTACTGCATATGTGCCCTACCCAATAAAAGCTTGTGTGGGATGACAACTAAGTTGTTAGCTTGTGTGGCAAACAACTAGTATTCTTTTCTTTCTTCTTTTTCTTCTTGTTTGTTCTTTTAATGCTGCTTTGAAAACAAGAATTTGTGGTGCTATTAGAAAGGATGCTTTATATCTTGATTGGTTTGGAGAACCAAACAACCCTACCATGTGGCTTTGTCCTTTCAACAAGCAAAGGAAGAAGTATTTCATTTCTTTGAACACTCTGGACTGTCATCAGAAAACTGAACTGGTTAAATATTTGACCATCAGTTTTTAATGATTCAGATACAATACATAATAAATTATAGGAATTTTGATATGCAGGATATTTCAAAGAGCTTTGCCAAAAATTTATACTTGCTGAGATCTTATTTTTGAAAAGCTGATCAGTGGGTACCCTTATTGACACTGGTATTCTTGACGCTTTTTTAGCCGTCAAGGAGATAGATTCTTGACACTTTTATACCGTCACTAAAGGCAGTTTTTCTTGTAGTGTCCATGATACTTATTGAACATGCAGTAGGTAATGTGTACATATTTAATGTGGTCCAAAGAGTGCTAATTAATCGATTGCTGTCAAGAAATTATAGACATAGATATGTCTGAAACCTGTCCTGAATTGAAAGGAAGTCAGCCACTCAAATCAACAAGAAGCTTTTGCTATCCACACATCTATCTCTCTAAAATTTCAAATGGGGTCTCATGTTTGTAGGTTTTAATAAAAATGGTTTGGGGCATAATGTTCTCCAAAAAATATACAGACTTCACAGCTACCAAGTAGTTCATATTAAGATGGAAACACAGCCATGTGATCCTTCAAATTCTTATGTCACTTGCCAACCCAACCATATTTGCTTCCATACATTTCTTTCCACATTCTACACACCCTTTCAATTTTCATCTGTATATATATATATATACACACACACATATATTATCCCATAAACAAATCAACTCCTCATCACCATCTTAAGCTAAATCTTTTTCTTCCAGTCAACTTTCAACTTCAAGCTCTTTTTGAAAAGTGATAATTCAGATTTTGAAACATATGGCTATCCGATTGCCTAGTATTATGCATGCTAAGCAGATCCTCCGACGAGGAAGTCTTTTCGCAAACCGATCAGCTTCAACATCTGCCGTAGGTGTTCCAAAAGGCTTCTTAGCAGTGTATGTTGGAGAGAGTGAAAAGAAGAGATACATGGTTCCAATTTCATTCTTGAGTAAGCCTTCATTCCAAGAGTTGCTAAGTAAGGCAGAGGAAGAGTTTGGATTCGACCATCCAATGGGTGGACTCACAATCCCTTGCAGAGAAGAAATCTTCATCAATCTTACTTCTAGATTAAATGACATGTGATCTGTGATACAAATTGTGAATAGAAATTGTAAATAGAAATGACAAGAAATCTTCCAACTTGTATGACCAGTTGAGGAAATTGTAAATAGAAATTGTTGACACTCTACAATTAGCAACATCAAATGTAAGGTGTTCCTCTTTAGATTCTGAAATTACTTTCAGTCCATTACCTTTCTTTTCCTGCCGTTTTAATTTGTTTATCATACACCAAAATGACAATAAATTCATGTCACAACAGGAATTTAGTTATTAACTTCAAATGGGGTTGCAAACTTGCAACCTTGGATAACTGTAGGCCACACGTCATGTGCTCTTCAAGAGGGATTGTCTAGCAAGTTGATGTAGTAGGACAAGAAGAAGACGTACATTTTGTGTATAGCTTTTGTGTATACATATATTATTTTCCCCAAAACTTTGTTTTATATCCACATCCATTCATAAATTTTGTGTGTTGTGTAGTGTATATACTTGTTAAACCTTTTATGTTCGTTCATACAATAACAAGAATTACAGATAATAGACTTGAATTAAATTCTCATAATACAATAAAAACTTATCTACACCGCATTAGACCAAAAAAAAAATGAACTTATAGGCTAAAGGTTTTTTTAAAGGGCACTGCTTCCCTCCTTCTCTCCTTCCCTCAAAGTAGGCATTCCTACTTCTTGTAAATCACAGTTTGACACATTTGCAAAAATAATTCATGAAAACTATAAAAAGAAAATTCTTTACACAGATGTCAAACTGTGATTGACAGGAAAGTAGGAGTTCCTACTTCCACAGAAGGAGGCAAGTATTTTCCTTTCTAAAAGAAAAGAAAAACGATAAGATTTTCATAAGTTAAAAAAACTTGTCACAATGGTGCTAAAGGTGTTTCGAGAATAAATTCTAACTTGAGCTATTAAGTGTTGGTATAGGTGGCTCGAATACAAGCCAAGAATACAAAAATACTCTATGGTTTAAATATAGGTGGTCTACTCCTAATTACATTGAGACCTTTTGTGATCACACCTAGAGGTCCATTGGATCTTCTCTCTTCTAGGTGATTAAGGTTTGGACAATATCGGTGCATGGTAGGTTGAAGTTGAAGGGCTGAATTTATATATTGTGAGAATAATATTTCAAAGATGTGTTTGTCCAAAGCTTGATTAATGTAAAGAAAATGAGCCTCAAACTAATGAGATACTTCGTTTTGTTTTGGCATGCATGAGCTGAAACTAGTAAATAACTAGATATCACACCTTATAATATTGCTATAAGTAAGATGATGTATAGAGTCTTTAAATGTTGTTGTCCAGAAATCATAGACATATGCGTCTATGGCTCTCCGCTATTTAAGGTCAGCCACTAGAACTTACAACAATACCAGTTTTCCTCACTTCCTTGTAGGTTTGTGGTCAAGCACAACGTTTGGGGGCTTAATGGTCCCATCAAAATATGCAAGCCTTAATCCGTAGCTACCAATATTTTGAGCATGAGAAGGATGACACAACCATGTGCATTAACCTAACATTTATGTCTACCATTTCCTTCCCAAATTGCCCTCACAAATGTATAATTTTCCATACATTTTTCTCCATCTTACTTCTATTTATACACACACAATATCCCAACAAAATTTGCAAACCAAAGTACTCCTCGCATTCTCCACAAGCTAGAAAATCTATTCTCTCTTCTCTCTTTCTTCCAAGTGTTTTTTGTTTTTTAAATCCAACCCCTTATAATAAGGCGATAATTAAGTTTCCTTATTAAGCATGGCGATTCGGTTATCACAAATCCTACGACAATCGAGTTTATTGTTTGCAAACAAAGCAGCATCATCATCTTCTGTTGGTGTTCCAAAAGGCTACATTGTAGTGTACGTCGGAGAGTTTGAAAAGAAGCGATTTGTCGTTCCGATATCGTTCTTGAGTCAGCCTTCATTTCAAGAGTTGCTAAGGAAGGCAGAGGAAGAATTCGGATACAATTATCCGATGGGTGGACTCACAATTCCTTGTAGAGAAGACATCTTCATTGACCTCACTTCCCGCTTGAATTAATGGATTGTGATTTGCAGCATAAACATGCACTACTTAATACATGAATTAGGATAGAATTTTGTAAAGTGATCTTGTACTTTTTTTTTTCTAGTGTTTTCCCTTTGGAGGAAATTGTATGACCACCCAAAAAGTTGATCAATGACATAATTCAATGGAATTTTTTCTTTGAAGTTATGTCTCGTCTCCTTGCCAGAATGATTGATTTGGTGGAGAATATTACAACTCTTTGATCATCATAATGTTTCATGGGCGTATATATAAATGTGAAAACCCAAGTCCTAAAAGAACTCACCTGTTCAGAACGATTACTTTTTACAATAAGAGTTGCTCTTTGGAGAGCACAGTACGATGAAAGTTGTAAGCTGTGTTCGGGGGGGAGTTATTGTCTATCGTTGGCCTCTATGGTAGAAAAACAGAGATGCATTTCCATTTGTTAGTCCTTTACCTAGTCAATCTGTTTGGATGGCCTCCTACCAAACCATACGTGTTGATTTTTTAATGGGTGATGTTTTTGGTCGTCATTCCAGCTAGAACTTGTTTTGAGTTCAAGAATTTTGAATCAGTTAGTTTTTTTTTTTTTTTCTGTTTCAAGTGAGTACCAGGAAAACAGTTAATAAGCCAGCTCAGTTACTTGTCCATGTGACAGAAAAACTTGGGTGATATTTCTGTTTGGGCTGGTTTTTACCCGCCGCAATAAATAAGGCAAATTGGGCCAATATGTGGCTTGAGCTCAAAACCGTTTGGATTAAATGAATTCCCTGGCCAATTCATGTGGCCTGGCATACTGGTACAACCGTCAAACCGCATCGTCCGATTCGGTTTGGTCCAAGTTGTATTTAAAATTTGATAGCCAATTTGGATTATACTGGTCTAGATTGTCCAGATGATCCATAATTTAGGGTTAGTTTGGCATTGCTATGTTGTGAACATAATCACTGTCAGATTTGCTGTGAAAGAAATCATCTGTGAGAGAGAACAATTTGGCGTTTGGTAAACTTTTTCTTAAAATTGTTGTTGGTATTAATTCTCACATAATTAAAAAATGATTGTCGCATAATCATTAAACCCAACGCCTCTTCGAAATTGATTCCTGCATAATCAGAAAATAAAAGCACATCATTAGCTGCTTTCCCTTATAGCTTTCTCTCACAGCAATTTTTAACAATAAGTGATTTTCTCATAGTTTACCAAACGGTTGGGCTTCCCAATTTTTTTAAAAAATCACTTATCACTCCAAATAAGTAATGCCAAACGGATACTTACTAACTAATTAATATATGATCCGATCGATTTGAACTTATTTATTCAAAACTAAGTTTTCCCAGTCAGCACCCAGCCACTACATTCTTATTTGCTAACAAACTTCTAATTTAACTTCTTCTTCGCTCATACTCCACCGCCGCATTCTTATGGACTTCTCAACTCTCGATGTCGTTTCTTTCTCTTTTTCTTTGGGCTTAATTCTCACAACATTACCTTTTTTTCTCTATATCTCTCTTTTTTTTATAACAGATACATCGGGATCAACAGTAGGAATCCTATACCTCGGGCCTTTTCCAATGGTCAGATTAGACCATTGGATTGGACTCATAATCAGGGATTGAAGATGTTCGATGGCCCAAGGGTGAGACAACTTAGTTCAAATCTAATTTAACCATCACGGATTGGAAAATTGTTGGCTATCGCAAATCTCACGGCCTGGTGCTCCGGGCCGAGGGGATATGCGACGACACGTGACGTCCTTCTTTTGGATGCGGTGCGGTTGTGTGCGGGCATGCCAGCACGGTCTACCGTGCGTCGAGAGAGTGGTGTGTTTGGGTAAATGGTTAAGTGGTGCGCCTGTTTGAGTTCGACTTCTAATCAAACGATTGTGGCCGAGAGAGGAACTGATCTCGGCCGTCAGGTTCACGACCTGAGCTACAAGGCCGTTTAGTGGTGGTGTTGATGGTGGGTTTTAGGCGGTGCGCTGCTCAGGGAGCGACGGTCGTATGACATATGGGGTGGATGAGAGAGTAACAGAGATGGTGCTCCGGCGCCTCGAAGATCAAGGGTCGTATGATATATTGATGAATGGATTTTCCTTACAATATATCACTACTCCTAGGAAAGTAAGAAGTGCATTACAAGAAATGAAAGACAGGAAAATATAATTTGCTCCGTGGGAGGCTTTTGGTTTGGTGTTTGAACCCTTTGAATGTAGCTTGAACTTGGTATTTATAGGAGAGGTCCTGGAGGGATAATCGAGACTGAAAAATCTGCGTGTTGGAGCCTGATTAGAACAAGTGGGTAGTCAAATCGGCATTTGGGATCGTGAAGCATGATGGTGTGACCCCCATAAATCTCGGTAAATCTCGGCCACCGCCCTGATCGTGGGTTCTGCGCCTTTGGCCGTGGGAACGCATTTAATGCCCTGGTCTGGTGGTTGGTGACCTAACCTCTCAAGTTGTAAGAATATTTGTGAGAATGTTTGCGCCTAACCACTCTGATTTCCATCACCAAACCCTGACTTCAGTCACTTCCCATCTTCCCTCGTGCATTAAATGCTTTTTTGCGGCTAGTGGGTTTGCTGCAATATTCAGAGGCGTTACTTCATTAGATGAAGTGTGGGACCCTATTGCCACGTGGTGATTTAACTTTAATATCTTCGGTGGTGTCTTTTACGCCCTTCGGCCTCGGCCTAATAATACCGTGGTCGCGAGGCCGAGAAGATTCCGCCTTCGCATCTTTTCTTTCATTTTTAGGAAGGCAAATGCCTAACGAACCGCCACGTTTTAGTTTTATGAGCTGGTGTGAGGGCCGAGAGAAAGTTCTTTCGGTCAGTTTACGACCGAGATTTATTAGGCACAAACATTGCCCCCACATCCCCAGATTCTTCGGTCGCGATATGGGTAGAGGCCGAATGGATTCCAGGGGATGGACCCTTTGCATTCCTTTTGAAGTGATTGACAGTTGGTGCCTTAAATGCACGAGTCGGTCGGCGTCTTTAGTACGCAAGCACGTCTTTTAGGCCATCATTGCCTTGATTCGCGCGAGCCGTCGCTTCGTCTCGTCAATTGAAACGACGGCCTCTGGGGTTTCGACACGTCATCGCGCATTAGAGTGCGCTGTCAGACTGTTACGTCTCTCGAGAGAGAGCCATGCCCTTTCGTTTCGTATTCGAGCGCCAATATAAAAGCCCTGCCTT